ATTTATACCCTTTACAAAATTGCTTAGGAAGCTCCGCAAAAAGTCAGCTGAAACGGGAAAAGGTCCGACCGAACTCTGTGTAGGTTCGGTCGGACTCAGGGTAGGTTCGGCCGAACTCAGGGTAGGTTCGGTCGAACCTCCCTGATCCTTGTTTGGTCGAACTTTCCTGGTTCGACCCCTCCTGTAAACATGCTGAAAACTTGGTTGAAACTGCCTTGGAGGTTCGGTCGAACTTTTCAAAAGTTTGACCACACCTAGGTTCGACCGAACCTCTTAGAGGTTCGGCCACACCTCCTCTTGAACTTCCTCTTCTTGCTTCCTCTTCTTCCCTTTTGCTCCTCTTGTCTTTGTCCATGCCTCCATACTTGGCCAAGGGGCCTCCTACCGTGCTTAGGACCGTCATGGAACCTGCAAAAGATAGCAAAGATCACGAGAGCATGGGGATGATAAAATTATGCATAAAGATTATCAAAACAAGCGCAAATAAGCATACTTTTCATCCATAAAAGAAAAGGAAGCCATAAGAGGAGAAAAGAGGTAGAAAACCTAAGAAAAACAGGAGAAAAGAGACCAATACACTACCCCTAAGGGTAACATAAATGTCACTCATCAACCACCATTACTGCGGAGTACTGGTCCACCTTGGGGAGACCACTGATGAAGTCCATAGATATGCTTTCCCACGGACGCGTCGGCACAGGAAGAGGATCTAAGAAGCCTCTAGGTTTCTGACGATCTACTTTGTCCTATTGACAAACCAAGCAGGTCTGGGTGTAACTAATGACATCTTCTTTCATTCCTGGCCAATAGTACCCCAAAGAGAGTAAGTTTAAAGTCCTCTGCCAACCTAGATGTCCGGCCCATAGGGTATCATGACATTCTTTCAAGAGCATCTTCCGCAGGCCTCCCGCCTTTGGTATGAATAGCTTGTTACCCTTTGTGTAAATGAGCCCATCTGCTATCTGGAAGCGTCTTGTCTTTCGTTTTTCTATCAGCTCTTTAATAGTGTTCGTCATGGGGTTTTCTGAGAGGTGTTGTTTGACTTGCTCTTTGACTAAGGTGTTGACGTTGCTGGAGGACATGGGGGACAGTTTTTGTAGGGGGGCCAGATCGGCACGATGGCTCAAAGCATCACTGGCTCCTGTCTTGTACATGAACTCCACATCAAAATCTGCTAGTACATCCTGCCAACGAGCTTGCTTCCCCGTTAACTTTGGTTGGGTGAGGAAGTAACTGGCTGCAGTGTTATCGGTGCGAACAATGAACTTTGCCCCCCAACAAGTAGTGTCTCCACCCCTTTAAGCAGTGAACAATGGCTAACAGCTCTTTTCTTGGACAGCATACCTTCTTTCGGCACCACTCAACTTCCGAATCTCATAAGCAACTGGGTGGCCTTCTTGGAGTAAGACCCCACCCAATGCATAGTCGGATGCATCCGTATCAACTTCAAACGGCTTGTTGATGTTAGGGAGGGTTAAAACCAGTTCTTTCATCACTGCTTCTTTGAGCTTGAGGAAAGCCTCTTGTTGTTTCGCCAACCAACTCCACTTGTTGTCTTTCTTCAACAAGTCCGTGAGGGGACTTGCTATCTCTGAATATCCTTGAATGAAGCGGGGATAGTAATTAGCCAACCCTAAGAACGACCTTAACTCTGAGACGTTCTTCGGAGCTTGCCAATCACTAATGACTTGGATTTTCTTAGGATCCATTCTTATGCGGCCTCCTCCTACAAAACGTCCGAGGAAGCTTACTTCTTCCTTCGCAAAGGCACATTTCTCCCGCTTCACGAACAGGTGATGCTGTCTTAATTTCTCAAACACCTTCCTTAGGTGCTCTAAGTGATCTTCCAGGGTATTGCTGAAGATTACAATGTCGTCTAAATAAACAACCACAAACTTATCAAGGTAGTCGTGGAAGACTTGATTCATCAAGGTACAGAATGTTGCAGGCGCGTTTGTTAGCCCAAACGGCATGACCAACCACTCGAACGCGCCGTATCTGGTGACACAAGCCGTCTTTGGCTCATCTCCCTGAGCAATTCGAACTTGATGGTAGCCGGACCTTAGATCAAGCTTCGTGAAGTACACAGCGTCTCCTAGCTGATCGAACAAGCCTGCCACCAACGGTATCGGATAGTGATTTCTCATTGTCAGCTTGTTTAAGGCTCTGTAGTCGATACACAATCTCAAAATCCCATCTTGTTTCTTCTGGAAAAGGACTGGTGCTCCATAGGGAGCTCTCGAGGGTCGGATAAACCCAGCTTCTAACAACCCGTCCAGCTGTTTACGCAACTCTCCAAGTTCCGGAGGGGCCATCTGGTAGGGGCTCCGCGCGGGTGGTCTAGCACCTGACACCAATTCAATGCAGTGATCTATGGCCCTTCGAGGAGGAAGAGATTTTGGGAGCTCCTTAGGAAGGATGTCTGCATATTCCCCAAGTAACTCTCCTATCATTTCAGGGATATCACCTTCGACCTCCTCATCCTTTATCGAGAGAGTGGCGAGGAACGTGGGCTCATTTCTCCTTATCCCTTTCTTGAGTTGCATCGCCGAAAGCAGGGGGCCTTTCAACTCTTTTCCTTTTTCAGGAGCGTGTGTTCGTAGGAGGCACGGTTGGTGGCTTGTCACAAGTAAGGACCCTAGGTGGGGCATTGGAACAACCTTGCTTGTGCGTAGGAAATCCATCCCAAGGACTACTTCAAAATCATCCATGGTTTTCACCGTGAAGTCCAAACTCCCACTCCATTCCCCAATCCTAGTGTTCACATTCTTTGCCACACTGCAAGTCGGTTGTGCTTCAGAGTTCACAGCTTTCATGCGACCACCACTATGCGCGACTTTCAGCCCTAATTTGTTTGCCTCACGCTTCGTGATATAATTATGCGTAGCTCCCGTATCAACCATCGCCTGAGTCTTCTTCCCATTTATCCAGACATCTACATACATCAGGCTGGTAGCCCGACCGTTATCTCCCGACGTCTCTTTTCCCATAGCGTACATGCAATACACTGCCCCCAACTTAGAGGGTTCTTCTTCGCTTACCACTTCCTCCTCTTTGTCATCCCCTTTGTGAGGGTCTGAGGACATTGAGGAGAGTTTCTTTTGGAGGTTGTCTATCTCCGACTTGTGTTGGCACTCGAGCCATTTGTGCGGCCCGCGACATAGTATACAAGTGAGGGGTTTGTTACAGGATGATGATGAGCCCGAGGACCCACCTCTGTTTGTAGACGCGTGAAGAAGTTCTTCCGCGAGTCTTCTCCCCCATTCCTGAACCTATTCCCCACACTGTTCGAGCTAACCTAAGAATTACTGCTGGTCCTCCTTGGGGTGTTTGATGCTGACCCACTATTTCCCTTTTTCTGGATAGGTGCCTATCTGACGAGTAATCCATCAACCTTTCCGCTGTAGCTATAGCACCCGATAATGTATCAATTTTTTGGCGCCATATCTCCCTTTGAGCCCAATCTTTCAAACCACGCACAAAGTTGAATAGGCGGTCAGTCCTTCTCTGACATGTCATGAATCTCTAACATCCACGCCGAATATTCCTTCACATACTCTCGAATGGAGGTCTTGTGTTGCAGCGTTGCAAGCTTAGTGCGAGCAACAAACTCAGTATTCTCGGGGTAAATTGTGCCATCAGTTCCTTCTTTAGATCCTCCCAAGTGTCTACCGACGTTCTCTTAGCTTGGATGTCGGCATACTTGGTGCGCCACCAAAGTTTAGCGTCATCTACTAAATACATCATGGCAGTATCCACCTTCAGCTCATCCTCCAACTGGCATATACGAAAATATTGCTCCATGTCAAAAATGAAGTTATCAACCTCCTTTGAATCTCTCATGCCATTAAAGGTCCGAGGTTTAGGAGGTTTTACTTTAGCACCTCCACTACCCCCGAGCCCTCTTTGAGCATGCATCAAGGTGGCACATTTATCTTGTGCATCATCAGCTAAGCCTTGCACAAAATTAAGCTGCTCCGTCAACCAATCCACCGTCGACGCGAGCCTCTCCATTTGCTCGGCTTGTTTTATCACAATATCTTCGAGCTTGGACATCCTTTCTTCAAGCATAGCCCATTGTTCTGACTTGCCTTCAAGCCAAGCAAGTCTTTCTTCTAACGTATATTCTGGCATCTCGTCGTTCAGCATAACTCGAGCAACTTGGCTCTAATACCAACTGTCACAGTCCGAGAGTTTTGACACCGAATCGTGCGGCGCGCACTTGTCTTTTGACGACAAGGACACAAGCCTAGAGCAGAGGGGGTTCGTTGGCACACAGCAACTAACGGACCAAAGGTATCTCAAGGAAGCGCTCGTCAACTACGAGTGCGGATTAGGGGCTTGTGACGACCGATATTTCGAAGCGGGCACAAGCGGGACCGACAATAAAGAAGGCGCCTTTTGAGATTCTCTTGGTTTGGACGGGATGCTTTAAAACAAGGCAAGCACAATATCTATAAAGACTTAAATCAACACACAAGTCTTAAAGCAAAGGCAACCGAGATAGGAGCTTTCATTCATTCAACTATTCGCCCCATAAAGAGCTTTATATTGATTGCATAGTGAAATACTAGCAGACACTGAAACTACAGTAACACAATAATTTTCCCTAGAGCCTAGAAAGCAAAAAGAAAGACTTAGAAGATACTACCTAAGGAAAATACAAGGAAAAAGGAAGGGGGATACATAGAGAAAGAGGCGGATTCTAACACATTGGCAATGGTGTTAGACAACCCCTCTTTATGAAAACATGTACAGAGTAGTAATTTTAGAGAATGATTATGTGATTTTCTGACATTGGTACTTCTTATGCTGACAAAACTTGAAGAGTTGAATATTGTGAATAACATACAAGCTAAATCTGAATATGAAAATTCTCCAAGTAGAGCCAATATATAAACTATCTTACACGTCTGTGAATATTGAATTTGTTACATACTTCTATTTGGGTTATGATGCTTATTAGTTATTGATAGACTTTTCACCGATACCTTCTGCAGGCATTGACCTTTGGCCTGGGAGGCAAATTCATAGTCATAACTATCGTACTCCAGAACTTTATCAAGACCAGGTGTGTTTCTGATTTACTTGTTCGTATTCATAATTTAGATGCCCAGATGCACGGAATGCAATGTTTATGTGTAATATTTAATGTTGTATATTGGATTTGATTTCTGCCTACACTGTATACACTTCCACAAGGGAACTTTTTACTCTCCTTGTAAAGTTTGTATGGTTTTCTTTGAATTATCCTTTGTTGTCTAGTAATATTGTCTTCTTGCTTCCATCAGGTCGTAGTTTTGATAGGGCTTGCTTCAAGTGTTTTCGATATCTCAAGGGATATTGCTGTATCAGCCAAAGAAGTTCATGTAACAACTAGGTCTGAAGCAGCAGGAAAATTGGCCAAATTTGGAAAGCATCCTGGTTATGATAACTTGTGGCTTCATCCAATGGTAAAACTACTCAACAAAAGTCCATTAAAAACATTGTTCATTTGTTTGTCCCTTATTCTAGGATGAGTTCTAAAACGCAGTCTTCTTCTGTTATGTAGATAGAGCAAGCCCATGAAGATGGTAGAATATCGTTTCAGGATGGGAGTGTGGTCCTTGCAGATGCCATTATCCATTGCACTGGGTATTTTGATTAACCTAAACATTTTTTTAGGTTAAGCTATAGAAACTAGAGGAGAGTCGTCTATGATAGATGCAGTTGAATTCAAAATGCGTCACCTAGATATTGTAGCATTGTACTACTACACTAGTTAAGATCTGCACAACTAATGGATAATTACTGATGGACTGATGCGTCATTTGTCAGGTATAAGCAACATTTCCCTTTTCTTCACACTAATGGTGTCGTAAATGTTGATGATAATCGTGTCGGGCCACTTTACAAGCATGTGTTTCCTCCTGCATTAGCCCCAGGGATCTCCTTCATTGGTGTGCCATTTAATGTAAGATTTCTTTTGTTGGTGTTATATATACTTTCTACCTTCTAGGGAGATATAGTTTTAATCAGTAGATACTTCTAGATAGCTAAAGACATTGACCAACTCGTTTCAAATTTCATGCTAGGTTGACCTATTCTTCCTTTTTGAACTTCAAAGTAAATGGGTAGGAGGTATTTTATCTGGGCGTTTATCACTTCCGTCTGAGGAAAAAATGATGGAAGATGTAGAAGCCTTCTACTCAGAATTGGAAGCTAAGGGAGTTCCAAAGCGCTACACACATCGGATCCATGATTTTAAGGTAAATTTTACTCGAGATGAGTGATTTACTTTTGTACTTGCATTCATGTACTCACCAACTAACAAATTGGTAAAATAATTTTTAAAAATTAAATTAAAGGGATTACTCTTTGCTCCTTCGAGTTTAACAAGGAAAGCCATTGTAACTAAGTTGACAGCTTAGTAAACAACTGTGTACGGCTATCAGCATCATGTATTCATATTAGAAATATTTTTGCAAGGGTCTACATATGGCCTGTAAAAAAATGGGAACAATGTGATTATGAATTTGTGTTTATTGTTTAACAAGCTGGTACAGAATACTTGTAGGAATTTTGTGGTTGATTTTGGAGAAATGACAAGCAACAATGTATACCCCCTGCTAACTACTGATTAGCTAGCCTCTCATGTCTAATATGCATAATTATCGCAACCTAGGGAGCAAGTTTGAATGGAGGAATGAAAAAATCAAATCTCTAGGGATAAATAATTTGATCCACTCTAGAGGGTGTTTTTTTTTTTTTTTTTTTTTTTTTTTTTTTTTTTTTTATTGAGATTGACTTCATGTTGGATCTCCACACAGCAACTCTGTGGGTGGTCATATGAATACGAGGATTGGCTTGCTTCAGAATCTGGCTGCCCTCCTTCTGAGGAGTGGAGGAGGGGAATGCATATTGCAACAGTAGGCCGTGCATTTAAACAAACAGAGACTTTTCGCGATGAATGGGATGATGAAGACTTGGTCCTGCAAGCGTACAAAGATTTTATGCAGGATTCGTCTGCTGAAGGCAGAGTTGCCGTTGCTCCTTCAACACAAAGATAACTCTGTTTCATTGATGAAAAATTATACTACGTACTATTTCTGATTCTACTGGTTTGAGTTGCAAAGCCCAAGTTGTTGTTTCTTTTTTTTTTTTTTTTTTTTTTTTTAAATTTTAAAAAAAAACTCAGCCCAAGCACGTATTTACTATTAACGGCAATTGTTTATTGCTGTACAGGACCTGTATAGATAAATTTCGTTGTTTTCTTTAATACTCTGCTACGATCAGATCCTCAACTTAGTTCCATGCTTTGAAATGCTGTGTATGTTGCATGATTTGAAGCTAGAGGAAAAGTTAATGATCATATCAGATAATCAAACGTAAATATGCTTGCACAAGAGTAGCCACTGCACATCGTGATAATTAATAATTCCATATTTCCATGAGAAGCGGAAGAGCTTCGAATTCTAAATTTACATTTGTTGCATGTTGATCGTCGTATGGTGACTATAGGCAAAAATTAAAGTAATTTTTAGAAAATTTTGACTTTTCACTAAAAAGCACCACTTTAATTTTTACTACCTATCTAATTTTTTATTTTATTTTATTTGTTATGAAATATATTTATGGATGCTCATTATACTCTTCTATCATTCCAAAACTTTCTAGATTTTAGGGTTTATTATTCTCCAAACAAACCCTATTAATTGTACTATATATATATATATATATATATATATATATATATATATATATATATATATATATATATATATATATACGGGGAGGTTCCGCTGAAAACAGGGCTTATGGTGAAAACTAAAAACAGAAAAAATCTCAACCATCCATTGTTACTAACAAGATCTAACGGTTTAAAAAAAATTAAAATAACGTAGAGTCACTATATATAAAAATAACGTAACTGTATACAAAAATAGGGTAACTATATCAATTTTTACAACATTTGTCACTATATACAAAAATAGGGTAACTATACCAATTTTGATCCTATTCATAGAAGTCACTATATACAAAAGTAGGGTAACTATATCAATTTTGACCACATTTACATATAGGTCGCTATATACAAAGATAAAATAACTATATTAATTATAGCTTGCAATATTGCTGAAAATCCAGCAAGATTGATATATACAAAAATAAGGTGACTGAAACAAAATTTACAACATTTCCATAATACTAAGGTCATTATATACGAAAATAAGGTAACTATATATAAACTTCGGGTAATTATATCAATTTGACACCATTTACCCAGAGGTCACTAAATATAAAAATAAAGGGTATTAAAAAAGTCTATGTAGGATTCGAACCTACATCCCGTGATTACACGGTGCTCGACCAATTGAGCTAATAGGCTTTCAACATGCCAAAAACTAGAGGCTTAAAACCAACACAGATTTTAAATTTATGTTTGAGATTTTACAATAACCTTTCACACACACACAAAAAAAAGAAAAAAAAAATTACAAAATTTATATCTAGTTAACTACTGCAAATTAGTTTTCCATATACTTCGTTCAAAGTTTTATGGAATACATTGTATGTTGAAGGCTTTCCCAGAATATTGTCAGTGTCAACTTTCAATTTCCTTCTTTCTTCTCTGAAAATTTGGGGAATTACAGAATTAGGCAAGTAGTAGAAGCAACATCTTCATTCTGCTTCATTGCTGAGACGAAAACTGAAAGATGAAGTTTCAAGCTCTGCGTCTTAATGACGGTACCTCTCTTTTTCCCATAATTTCCTACGGCCGATTTAGAGGGAACGATTAAGCCCCAAACCTAGACCACCACCACCACCGAAACCCCCAAACCCAGACCACCGACACCACCAAAACCCCAAACCCAAACCACCACCACCACCGACACCACCAAAACCCCCAAATCTAGACCAACACAACCACCGACACCCACCAAAAATACCGAATCCACCCACAAACCAAGCGAAACCACCCAAAACCCACCGAAAATCACCGAAACCACCAACACCACCACAACCATCAACACCACCAAAACCCCCAAACCTAGACCACCACCACCACCGACACCACCAATTTGCTAATAATATCAAACAATTGACATTCTATAGCTAAATAATCCAGTATATAAAAATTAAAAAAAAAAAAAACAGCAAAAATGCAAAAATTAAAGCCTAAATTCGCAATTTATTATCAAAATTCAGTTACAATACAACAAAATTGCATATAATTCACGACAATTACACATAGAATCAGAAGGAAAACAACAATTGAAGATCAAATCAAGTTCAAACCTAAAAAACACGATTAAAAAACCAAAAACCAAAAAAAAAAAAAACATAATCAGATCGAACCTCCAAAAATACCTAAGCCGCTTCAACGGAGAATTCAGAGTATGCTTCCGCCGCGTTTAGAGAGAGAACGAAGAGAGAGAAACACACAATAGAGAGAGAAAACAGAGAACTTGGTTGAAGAGAGAGAAAGTAGGAAAGAGAACAGAGAGGAGAGAGAAAATAACGTGTGAATTAAAAGATTAAAGATGTCTGAAAATAAGGGGAAAAAATCTCAGCCATAAAATATAATGTACGGCCCAGATTAACTGCTTTCAGTTTTTACTTTACCACTTGTTTTCACATGATCCAACTCCTATATATATACGGAGTATATATATATATATATATATATATATAGAGTGTGGATCATGTGAAAACAAGTGTAAAGATGAAAACTAAAAACATACAATCTCCACCGTACATAAAATTCAATGGCTGAGATTAGATACATGCTAATTATTTTCTCTCTCCTCTCTCTTCTCTTTCCTACCTTCTCGAATCCCCCAGCTTCAATTTCTCCCATTTATCATTTTCTCTCTCCTCCAATTCCCCCAAAAAAACCCTAGATCTCTCCATCGCTCCGCCATTCACGACGCTCTTCTTTCTCTCTCCTCCGTCGACTCCTTCACCGGATCGCTTAAATTGTGTTCTCCTTGTTTCAGATTGCTGAATTTGTAAGTTTTTGTTCTATCTTCAAACCCTATATTTTAATTCATTTTCTAGGATTTTCGTTTTGATTTCATGAATAGAGCTCAGTTTTCGATCTCGAATCGTTCGATAAGAGTAATTCGCTGCTTAAGTTTTTCTTTTTTTTTTGCTCAGTTTCGTGTCTGAATTTCGAATTAGCTAAGAGGAGTGAACAGGAGAGGAGGGAGCGAGTGGACTCGGCCGAATTGGTTGAATCGGTGGCTGATTCGAAGGATGACGGTGGTTGTGGAGGAGGGGTGAAGGAGAACAGTGACGTACAGAGCAGTGTTTAATTAATGGATGCTCCTTCTGCGAGAGCTCGCGCTAATTATGATTATCTCATCAAACTCCTTTTAATTGGCAATAGTGGTAATGTATTTATTATATGATTGAATATGCGTTTTTTTTAGATCTTTGATTGTTTCTCAGTTTGTAATCAAATTGATTGATTTGTGATATTTGTGGCATTGTGTTTGTTGTGTTAATGCACGGCATTGCTGGTTTGTCGATCTCATTTCGCTTTTGAGGCCAAGGAAGTTTGGTTTACGGTCTAGGAAATGGATTAATCATGGGCGTAGTGTGTTATCATCTGATGATTTTTAGCATTTGAGTGTGTTGAAGTGCAGGATGTGGTCTACTGGTCTGATTGGTTGTTGTTCTGTAATGTATTGTTAATTTGTTGATCTCATCTTGCTTTTGAATCCGAGGAAGCTGCTGGTGTAATGATGAAAAATGGATTAATCTTAGGATTAGACATATTATCATATGATGATTGATAGCATATTGAGTTTGCGAGGTTGTATGTGGTTTTTGCTGCATTGCTGGCTTGTTGATCTTCTTTCCCTCCCTTACATAGCGGGGAACCTTGATTTTTCGGCAATATAATAGCATTGGCACATGGATTATTCATGGATATAATGATGTTATCGTATGATAATTAAGTATGTTAGTGATTTACTATGTTGGATGTATATCCTCGTAATACTTGGGGGTTTTTTTTTTGACACAAAGCAAAGCTTAGCATTTATAATTTTGTTATAGTGACTCTTAATTTTGTGCAATAATATGAGTTATTAGCTTTATTGTTTTTGTGTGCTGAAAGTCTATTAGCTCAATTGGTCGAGCATTGTGCACTTGCATTGTGCACATGATGTGGGTTCGAATCCTACGTAGGCTTATATGGTGTGATCTTTTTAAAATGTAGTCAAAATTAATATATTAACCTAACCTATGTGTAAATGTTAAATTAATATATTGTGCACTTGCATTTTGGAAAGTACGATTTCAATTTTCTTTTCCTGTATGTTCTTGAATGTGTATTATTAGAGCATATACCGGAGAAAAAGCCTACTCATTTTCCAGAATTGATATTTTTAAACTCATTCAGTCTGTTGCATCTAACAGATAAGTGTTCAAGCTTTTAATGATGAAGATCCTCAAGGGCGTAGGATTTACTATTTTATGCAAGTAATTGGTTATTAAATCATGAATGACTGAAAAACAAAGGGAAATTATTTTGAATAAAATATTCCTTTTGAAATATATGCTTTATTTGGATTTAGTAGTGAGTACATTGTAAGTTTAATTTACACAATAATAGCTACTCTTATTTCATTCGCTCTTCATTTATGGTTTATATTGTCAGGCTTATTTATTCATCGCCGGAGGGCTGAAATAATGGATCCTCAAAGGAAGGTCGTTGGAATCGGATAGCTTATGGTTCTTGGAAGAATCACAATTTGGCTATTACAAAATTATCTGATAACAAGCAGGAGCAGGAGAAGTTATTTGATGACAAGGAGAAGAAGGAAAAGTTATCTGATGATAGTTACCTTATATTTGTAAATAGTGACTTCTATATAAATGTGGTCAATGTTGTCGAAATTGATATAATTAACTTATTTTTATATATAGTGGCCTCTGTATAAATGTGGTCAAAATTGATATAGTTACCTTATTTTTGTATATAGTGACCTTTATGTAAATATGGTCAAAATTGATATAATTACCTTATTTTGGGATATAGTGACCTCTAAGTAAATATTTTAAAAATTGATATAGTTACCTTATTTTTATATATAGTGACCTTGGTGTAAATGTCATCAAAAATAATATAACTTGACATAATTACCTTATTTTTGTATATAGTGACATCTGGGTTGTTTCACACCATTGGATTATCTAGTGAATATTCAATGGCTAAGATTGCTTGTTTTTAGTTTTCACCATAAGCTCTGTTTTTAGCGGAACCTCCCCGTATATATATATATATATATA